TGTGTTTCACTTATTTATACATTCATTGGTTGTATCTTTTATGTGCCCTGACAGGATCGAACCTGCAACCTTAACATATCAGCACAACACTATAACCAGCTGAGCTACCTGGGCAGAGCAGAACAAGAGTCTTTAATGAAACATTTATATTGTGCATATTGTGGTCCAAAAGCCTTGGCTGTCAGAATTTACCTGTGTACTTAAGGGTTTCATTTCTCTACTCCTTTTTATCAGGAAACCATAAATACAGGCCCTTTTGTGATGCGCTCCACGTGTCGGAGATGTGGTGGCCGAGGCACCATCATCACAACTCCATGTGTTATATGCAGAGGAACAGGAGAAGCCAAGCAGAAGAAGAAAGTGGTTATCCCTGTGCCTGCAGGTGAATTCTGGGCTCCTCCACACACAGGACTGGAGCTGAAACATTGTCTCCTTGTGATTTGGCTGTTGTAAAAGCCAGTGTGAAGGCCCTAGAGCCCCGGGCTGGAGGAGGAATTAGAATCTCCTTGCGTTTTTCTCTTTGCCGTAGTTGGCCTTAAAGTCTGTACTTACATGTCGGTTTGGGGAGCAGGGACCTGACATGTTCACTCTTCCCTGTGCATGGCGAGGGAGCTCCTTCGTCTCCGAGTTACTCCACAGGCCAGCATGGTCCCCACTGCTAGCCCCGTCTGCGCCACCTTCCCTCCTGGAGGCAGGGGCAGCCTGAGACTGCTCTCCCCAGTTGGCTCTATTCCCAGGGTGCTCTTTTCACAGGACAGTCTGATCATGCCACTCACCTTGTTGAAGATCCTGCAGTGACTCTCGGGCAAAGAAAAGGCTTCCTCTCTTGGTCTGTGCTGGCCTCTCCAGCCTCCTCTCTTATGAGCCTTTCCCTGTTGCCTGCCCTGCAGTCTTCCCAACTTTCCTCCAGCTCTTTGAACAAGACATAATGCCTCCTAGAACAGTCTTTGCATATTGCTGTTCCCTGGGTCTGAAACTTGCTTTCCATCATCTTTTCAGCAGTTAACTCTGGTCTTTGGGGCTTCCCCGGGGAAGCCACCTCAGATCCTTCCTGTTCCTTGGATGTACGTTAGCCTGGAGCTGTGACATTTTCCCTCTGAGAACATGGCTCTATTTGAGATAACTCATTTTTAGAGTTGTTATTTGATTAATATTCATCTCTGCTACTGGACTGGACACTCCTTGAGGTACTATGTGGCCCTGGTAAGAGGCAGGTGTTCAGCAG